CCATCATGCCTTGCTCATCTCTACATTTATTTAGCCCTTTAATTTCACTCGGCAATGTTCTGTGGTTTTCAGTGTAACAGTCTTGCACATTGTTCTGATACACTGATCCCTAAATACTTGGCTTTGAACTCCTGGGCTTGAGTGATCCACCCTCTGAACAAACTGAAATTACAGTTCTGTGCCCATGTACATGGTTATGGAACTTCATAATTTTTTAAAATAAACTTGTATAACTAGAAGACTTTTAAAAATTTATGTTCTAGCTAATCATTGATCAGTATATATGAAAACAATTAGTTTTGATATGCTGACCTTATTGTAACTGTGCCAAATTCTTTATTTTCCAAAGTTCTATCTTATTTTCTGAGAAAAAAATTCCATTTTTAGCTTTTCTTTTTCCTTCTAACTTTATTGTAGTAGGGTAGGACCTTCTGTACAATTTTGAATGAAAAGTAACGAGGCTGATGATCTTTACTTCATTTCTGACTTTAGAGGAAAAGTGTTATCTTATACCCTAAGTCTAATGCCACTTATAGTTTCATATTTTTATCAGGCTGGAAAAGTTCCCTTATATTTCTAGTTTGGCTTTACTGTGATTAGGAGTTTTACTCTTTTTAATGCCTTTTGTGTCCATTAAGATGGGCACAAGGTTTTTCTTTTTAAAGTTGTTAATATGGTATATTACACTGATTCATTTCAAAACCACAGTGACTAGGATAGCCATTATACTAAATACAAAATTAAATAAAATAACAAGTGTTGGCAAGGAGGTGGAAAAACAAATCTTTGTGCACAATTGGTGCAAATGTGACATAGTGTAGTCACTATGGAACAAAGCATAGTGGTTCCTCAAAAAAATTTTGCCAGGCATGGTGGCACATGCCTGTAATCTCAGCACTCAGGAGGATTGCCGTTGCGTTCAAGATCAGCCTGAGCCACATAGTGAGACCCTGTTTAAGAAAAAAAAATTAGTGTAGAATTACTATATGATTCAACAATTCCAGGTCAACTGAACTGAAAAAAGAATTTAAAGAGATATTTGCAAAAAAAAAAAAAAAAAAAGTATTTGCACAATATGCTTGTTGTATTTCTCACAAAGAAGTGGACACAACCAAAATGTCCATGGATAGATGAATGAATAAAGAAAATTAAGTAGAAAATTAGGTAGAAATACATACATTAGGTATGTATGTATTATAGAACTTTATTCAGCCTCAAAAGATAGAAAGAAAAAAAATAAGACCTTCTGTCATATGCTAAAACACAGATGAACCTGAAGGTATTATGCTGAATCAGTCAGTCACAAATGGAAAAATCCTGACCAGGATGGTCTGGTGGTACACACCAGAATCTAGCATGCTGGAAGGCTGAGGCAGGAGGATCGTAAGTTTGAGCCCAACCTGGATAACTTGGCAACTTAGTAAGACCTTGTCTCAAAATAAAAAAGGGTTTGGGAGATTGCTAAGTGCAAAAGTCTTGGGCTCAATTTCCAGTTCCACCAAAAAATTTTTTCTAAATAAATATAAACAAATGGACAGTGTATTTCATTGAGTGGATATGTAATTGAGATTATTTGTGTTCTCCTTCCCTTTTAAAGCAATAGAGCCAAGCATGGTAGAGCACACCTGCAATCCCAGCACTGGGGAGGCTGAGGCAGGAGGACTGTTGCAAGTTCAAGGCCAGCCTGGGCTACAAAGTGAGCTCAAGAGGCCAGCCTCAAATGCATAGCGAGACCCTATCTCAAAAAGACAAACAAAAAATAAAGTAATAAAACATTCAGAACTATGATTAGATAGCATACTATAGGCCAATTTCCTAGGTCCTTCTCCCCCTTGAAGTAATGTGTCAATGTAACAAAAGTCTGATTAACAGGAAGAGAGAAAAAAGTCTAACATCTAGGTCGTATCCCTCTACGACTGTTTCCACATCTCAACTCTATCATGCTTATGGTATGGTTTTCATCATTTCATCAAGGTGAGATCAAGCTTTAACTTTCATTATTCCTCTTCCTTTTAGAACTCTCAACAACAACAGCCCAATGTCACAGTGTGCCATAGGTTCATCACCGCTGTCCTGTTATGAGTGAAAGAATAAAAAGAAGTCTGGTTCCCCCACAAAACCAAGAAACCAAATAAGCCCTTGATCATCTTTCCAGAGAAATGAAAAATCTAAGCCCTAAAATCAAATACTCAACAAAAGAATTAAGCAGGAAATTAGAAAAAGCTGAGCAAATAATGAATGAGTCACACAATTATTTTAAGGAAATTATCCAAAACACAGAACATTAATAAGAAAGAAACAACAAGATATGTAAGAGAGCCTAAGACAAATCAGGACAGAATGAGGTGGACCCATACAGCTTTAACTGGAGTTTTAGAACACAGCAAATCTGTGCAGTGGTGAATCATTTCTGAGTAGGATAAATGAACACTCTAGTAATGGTTCTCAATACCAGCTGCACCTTAGATGCATCACCAAAGAAGTTTTGAAAACAAAAATCGGTGCTTAGATCCCTACATGGAGATTGTGGAATTGGTGTGGAGTAATACAAAGCAACTGTGTTTTTTCCAATGCTTCCCAAATTATTTAGAGGAGCATTCAGAGTTGAGAACCAGTAATCCATACCTACACACATAGCCAGCGAAACTGGCAGAATAAAAATAAGGACAAAAATGTTAAAAATAACCAGAGAGGCCTGGGGATACAGCTCAGTGGCACAAGAGCCTGCCTGGCAAGTGTAAGGTCCTGAGTTTGATTCCCGATACTCCCCCTCCAAAACAAACAAACAAACAAACAAACAAACACCAAAAAACTAGAGAGAAGTAATACTACATACAAAGTAACAACCTAGGTCTCAGACTGACAGTAGACTGTTCAACCACAACAGAAGCCAAAAGAAAAATGTAATACGACTTCAAAGTCATGTGGAAAATAACTGTCAACCCGGATTCTAAACTGGTTGTCTAGCCCAGCAGTTCATTAACAAGACAAGCTAAAGAAAATGACAGGAGGTTTTTAAGTGAGAACAAATAAATCACTTCACTCTGGATGTACTATTACTCTGGGGAATAAGAGCAGAAAATCTTTAAGCATAATCAGGTTTAGGAACTTCAGATTCCAGCCTTTTAACTAGTAGTTCTTAAAATGCGGTTCCTCAAATGGCAGCATCAGCATTTTGAAAACTTGCAGAAATACAAATTCTCAGGATTCACCAGACCTACTGAATTAGGAATATTCCAGTGGACTCAGCAACTGTGGTTCCCCCAACTTTACAACCCTACTGGGGATAGAACCTAAGGCCTTGTACATGCTAAGGAAGTGCTCTAACACTGAGCTATATCCCCACCCCTGCAACTGTGTTTTAACAAGCTCTTTTCTCTCCCTGATTCTAATGTGAGCTCAACTTAGAGAAGTCTACTTTGTAGTCTCAATGCCTACATTACTGTTCACACTTGCATATGAACAAATATTCTGCTGTTGCTCTGCCTATGAAACCTTTCCTTTCAGCCCTTTAAAAGGGTATGTCAGAGTTGACCAATTCCCATGCATTTTTAATGTCTTCAATGAATTTTCTTTTCCTCTTTTCACTGACCTAACCTGGTTCACTTCTCTTATAAAGTCCTCACATACAGACCATTCATTCTCCCGATCCACATGTAAGCTCAGTCACAGGAAAGTGCACTCAACACCTATATCCAGAGCTTCAAAAAACTCTACATTAATAAAATCCCTCCTTCTGTGAATATCTCATTTTCATGTTAGCAGGTGTATATGATTTTGACTACCGAATTTCTCTCACAATGTTCAGACCAGGAACCCTCTACCTATGGGACATTTCCATCTGGATTCTCTAAAAGAACCTCAAAATCAATACATACAAATCTGAACCAGCTGTCTTGTCCAACTCTGTTCTTCATATACTGGCACTATTCAGTGGCACTATTCATCTATCCAATTATCCTACAGTCCGAATCCTGGAAATCATTGACAGGACTCTTATTCAAACATTCAACTGATCACCAATTACAATCAATTTTACATTAAGTTCTCTAATTCTCTTCATCACAATTGTCACTCCCACAGTGTAAGTTAAATATCTCTTATTAAGGCTATAAGAACCTTTCACTCACTCTTCCAGTACTGCACTCCTAGAATTCATTTTGAAGTCTTTCTTTTTTTTTTTTTTTTTTTTTTGAGAAAAAGTCTCATTATGTAGTGCAGACTGGCCTTCAACTCACTATGGAGCCCAGGCTGGCCTTAAACTTCAGGTGACCCCTTTGTCTCCTGAATGCTGGAATTACAGGCCTGTGCCACCATACCTGGAGAAGCATCATATTTCAAGAGCCTTGATTTTTTTAATCATGTAGTACCTTGTGGTATGTGGATTATATTTCAATTTTTAAAAATCACATGCAGGTGGGGACATAGTTCAGTTACAGAGCTCACTCTGGGTTTGATCTCCAGCACCATAAAAACACACAAACCAACTTCCTAACATCATGTGGTCATACAGTTTTAACAAGTCCATCATTACTTAACACGGATTTTCTCTGGCTTTTTTTGGGTCCTTTTGAGACAGGGTCTTGCTATGCAAGACTGGCTGGCCTTGAATTCCCAACGATCCTCCTCCTTCAGCCTTCTAAGTGCTGTGATTACCGGTGTGTGCCATCATGCCTGGCTAACATGGATTTTAAATCTAGCTCTTTTATTCAATAGTTCTGGGTCACAAACTTATTGCTACTAGTTTTACTACAACTATTTAACAAAAACATCAATTACATAGGAATCATCAGATTAGATCCAAATAAATCCTTAAAACTTAAAAGAGAGTAACTAGTAATTTCATCTACATAAACATTACATTACCTTACCACAACGAATTTTAATTTTTATTACAAACATGGACACTTCAACATATGTTTGTAAGATGAACAAAATAAGAACATTTTTTTTTAAATGTTGAAACATGTAGAAAAAAATCTGGAAAAATTAAAACTCACCATACACACCTGTAGGAGTAGAACTGTTCATGGTAGAAGATCCGTTAGCGACACCAAAAGAAAGAAGCTCATCGAATCCCCGCTGAAAAGCAAAACCAATGTCCACTTAATAAAAAGTTTAAGATAATGGCTTACAGTTACTACTACAAATATTGAAAGCTATTACTATTACTTCATTTTAGTATGAAGACATTTAAGAGGAAGTCCTTGAGAATGACAAAATCTAAAGGGTGGCAGTGAACTGTAAACAGGAATTACAGCATATCCACATGATTCAGTTTTTAAAAAAGTAACAGATAAAGAAAATTAACCTTTCAATAATTTTTGACCCAATCCAGTATTCCAAGATGTTATATTTGAAATACTAACCTGTATTTAGGTGGCTGCATTCTGACATTGTTTCTATAACACATTTACATACAAAATATTTGTGTAGCTCTACAATCTTGACTTTACGTTCTGTGTACTTCTTAATATAGAATCCAAAGACTTTTTTCCCCCAGTACTGAAGATTAAATTCAGGACCTCTGCACTGAGCTAGAACCCCAATCCTCTTTACTTTTTATTTTGAGACAAAGTCTAACTTGCTGAATTGTTCCAGTTGGGCTCAACCTTGAGATCTTCTTGCATCAGCCCTCCAGAGTGCTGGGACTGGTGGCATACCCCCATAATCCTAGCACTCGGGAGGCTAAGGCAGGAGGACTGCCCTGAGTTTGAGGCCAGCTTTGAATACATAATGAGTTCAAAATCAGCCTAAATTGCACAGCGACACCTTGTTTCAAAAAACAGAGTGGTGAGGCTGCAGGTCTGTATAGCAAGCCTGGCTTACAATTAATTTCTATACTGACCAAGTTATTTATAATCATTGAGTTTTCATCCATTAATCCTAATTTTATTATTACTCCTTTCTTTTTCAGTACCAGGAATCAAACTCAGGACCTTGCACTTGCCAGGCAGGCACCATGCCACTGAGCTATATCCACAGCCCCTTTTATTATTATTCTTTTTTTTTTTTTTTTTTTGGTCTTTTTTTGAGACAGGGTCTCACTATGTATGTAGTTCAGGCTGGCCTTGAGCTCACTTTGTGGCCCAGGCTGATCTCGAACTTGCAACGATCCTCCTGCCTCAGCCTCCCAAGTGCTGGGATTACAGGTGTGCGCCACCACGCCCGGCACCTTCTTTAATGTGTACTATTTCTTAACTACAATTTAAATAATTTACTCTTTCAGTTAAGAAATTTGATCTAATTCCAAATCTGAACTGTCAATACTAAAAGATGTCTGACAAGCCTGTTCATTAAACAGTAACTATCAAGACTTAAAAATAATAAAAATGGAATACAAAATCAAAACAAACCTATTTCTAATGGCACTATTTATTTGGCTTGATCAATTTTTAAGAATAAGTATTTTGGTTCACTGGATAGTAAAACTTTTTTTTCGAGACAGGGTCTGGCTATGTAATGCAGGTTGGCCTTGAACTTGCTTGTGCAGCCCAGGCTGGCCTCAAACTCACGGCAATCCTCCTGCCTCAGCTTCCCAAGTGCGGTGATTACAGGCATGTGTCACCACACCTGGCTGGATAATAAAACTTTATACCCAACCACTCCTACAAATATTAGAAAGGCAATAGTGCTACAATAGATACTTAATGCTTAGGCATAAGTAAACATTCTGTAGGGAACTATTTCAGACTGCTGAAGAAAGACAAACTACCAATGTGTTTGCATAGTAGAATTATAATTATTTAAACATGTAAGCATCCAGAAATTGCTTCCCTTAGATATTCACCAGAAATGTATTAGAGATACCTTGGCATACAAGGAAAGAAAGATTTGACTAAGAATGCAAGATGAATCTAAACTCCCCAAAAGACCAGGATTAGTCTCACTTCAAGCATAAGTCTATGTATTTTTTTTTTTTAATTTTGCTTTTTTTTCCGGTACCAGGAATTGAACTCACGACCTCGCGCTTGCCAGGCAGGCACTGTGCCGCTAAGCTAAATCCCCAGCCCCTGGTCTATGTATTAATTTCTGAAATGTAGGCATTATCAGGTTTTACAGCTTGATAATTAATGGCCAGCCTTTAGAAGGCTCACTTTCTACCTGCATCTACAGAAAGATAAATTCTTGGGTTTTTCTTTTTCTTGAGACAGGGTCTTACTATATATAGTGCAGGTTGGTCTTGAACTCCCTTATGTAGCCCAGGGTGGCCTCGAACTCATGGGGACGCTCTTGCCTCTGCTTCCCAAGTTACAGGATTACAGATGTGTGTTACCACACCTGGCAATTTTTGTAATTTCAAATACAGTAAATATTTAACTGTGGCCATGGTTTTATGTATGAGCAATCTGGTAAAATAAGAGTAAAAATGTGGTTTTTCTACTGCTGTTGAGTTTAATATCAATGTTTCTCTGAAAATCAAGCTAGTCTGATCTTAGAGACCACTTCAGTTCTTTTTAGACTTACAGGAGTATGTTAAAATGTCACAAAAAGTCGGTTCTAGGTTGACTATACACTCAAATGTAAAGGCAAAACAATGAGGATTCTAGAAAATAATGTAAAGTATGCAGCTTCATATTCTTGGAGTAAGACTAATAAAACAAGAAGTACAACTATAAAGGAAAATGCAGGTAAAGTAGACATTAGGATTTTATTTAACAGACATTATTTGGAGAGAAGGAGAAAAGGAGAAAATATCTATGATACATATAATCAACAAAGGATTATATTCAGATTACTAAGAACATAAAAACAAAAGGGAAAAACAAAACACTTGGAATTAATAATAAAAAGTCAAGATAACAGGAAATAAAAACTCAAAAAGGCACCTTACAAATGGGAAAGTTCAATACTGTTTCTAAGGGTGTGCTTCTCCTTTCCTGAGAACGGATTATTCACCCCACTTATGTCCATGTGACTTGCAATGTCACTGTAAAAAGGACAACTTCCTGTTGTAGACTTACAGTAGTTCTGAGATATCTTTTGGCCTTTGAAATATGAATAGACATGGCCTACACTTAATCCAAGTAAAATCCTCAAAGATCAGTCATTTCTATTTCTGCCAGTTGTTTTTCTACTTTTTGTTATTTTGCTCTGAAACATTAGAAGACTGTCCCACAGCAAATGTATTTCTGTAACATCTATCAACAAAGGTAAACAAAACATGTTTTTCTAAGCCATGTATTAAGACTAATAAGAATCCAATAAACATGGGAAAATATATTTTTAATCTTATTGGTTGTCGGGCGTGGTGGTAATCCCAGCATTCAGGAGGCTGAGGCAGGAGGATTGTTGCAAGTTCAAGACCAGCCCAGGCTACAAAGTGAGCTCAAAGCCAGCCTAAACTGCATAAGGAGACCCTGTCTCAAAAAGACTGCAAAAAATGAAAAAAAAAGGAAAAACCCAAAATCTTATTGGTTATAAGGAAAATGTAAGTTAAAACCACAATGAAATACCATCATACTAAAAAGACTGATAATACCGATGTTGGTTATGAATATGAAGCAACAAAAATTCTTAATTGCCTACGTATGTACATGTAGACATAAGAATGTTCTCAGCAGCATTATTTGTACTAGGCAAACTGGAAACAAACATTATGAACTATAAAACTGATGATTAATTTGTGTAAATGCATGCAATGATTACACAGTAATGAGAATGAGTTTGTTTCACAAAATAGGTGAATCTCACAAACATTAAGATGTCAGTCACAGCCAGGGGTATAGCTCAGTGGCATAAGCGCTTGCCTAGCAAGCCTGAGGTTATGAGTTTGATTCCTGGTACCAAAAAAAAAGATGTCAGTCACAAAAAATACACACTGTATTATTACATTTAGTAGTGCAGAAGAAGACAGTGAAAGACAAACTACATACAGAAGAAGGAAACTTCTTCACACTACATATAAAAATGAATTCTACAAAGTATAATACTAACAAACAATATATTCAGAAACTGGAGTAAATCTTCATGACCTTTCTCAAAGGGGAAAGGGGATCAAGAGATGGAGGGAGAATGGTGGGAAAGAGAAAGAGGATGAAAAAGAAATTAAAATGTCTTATGTACATGTGCCAACTCAAAAAAGGGGGGACCAAGAGATGCACTGAGGACGAAGGGAAGGAAAAGGGGATGAAAAAAGAAATTAAGATGTACATGTACCAATTCCCTACAAGGAACACAAACATTATGGGCTACAAACACGTACTAATAAAATGACCTGGAAAAAAAAATGGTATCATGACATAAAAAACATAAATGACAAAGAAAAACAGATTAATGGCACTTAAAATAAAAAAATTTTAAACTTCAAAGTGAGACAGACATCACAAGGACAGAACACAAACTCCAGCGCCCTTAACCTGCAACCCATTAAAGAGCATGGTTTAGGTGGGTGGAGTCTAACTCCCAGCACCGGAGGGTGAGACAGAAAAATCATCCCTTCAAGCCCGACCTAGGCAACTTAGCAGGACTAGCTCTCAAAATAAAATAAAAAACAAAGGGCTGGAGATACAGCTTAGTGTATAGCTCTGGGTTCAATCCTCAGTTTTTCTAAAACAGTATGTATGCCTCGTGTTTTCTTCTGAGGCAGTCTGGGACTTGATAACTGCTTCTGCTAAAAAGTCTCTTCACTTGCACCTACAGATGCCCAATAGGTAACTAAATGCATAGCAAAGGCTGGCCTTCATTTTGTATCTGTCTCTTTTATTATCTTAAAATTTGGGTCAAATATCTGCTCAGATCTGTATACAGGCATGGTAAGTATTTAGGGATTGTCTCTCTAAAAGCTAGCAATACAAGATTGCTAAATTTACATAACTTATTTCATTCTCTTTCCCCCTTTCAAGACTGAGGACACCAAGATAAAAGATTTACAGGGCCATCCAACTACTAATAAGTGCCCAGCAGTCTCCAGTCATTTCCCCAAAACTACTGAGATCACCCTGAATTGTAGCAGAGGCTCCATAAAATTGAGACTTTCCCAGGAAGAAACAATTATCTCATGGAGAAGGGATTGAGCAGTAAGGATTTCTCCACAGCCATTTGCAAAACTAGAACCAAGATAATGATCAACAAGCCCCCAG